AACAACAATTATTGAAGATTTCCAGAGGACTTCACCATTGAAATTCACCAGAGCTATAGTGAAACTGACAATGCCCACGTGCATGGCAGTTTCGATCTCAAGGAACTTGAGCGAACAGGTCCCAGCTAAGTGGCGGAAAACAATTCAATTTCAATTCAGTTTATTTCTATAGCTCCAATTCCCAACACATCATCTAAAGGCTCTTTATAGAGACAATTCAACCAGATCATCCAGTCAGATTGGTTCAAACTCTTCTATCTAAGGAAAACAGTTAGTCACAGTAAGAAGAAAAGTGCTCCCTATGTCCTCCAGCAGCCTAAGCCTATAGCAGCACAAACGCAGAAATAAAAATTCTGGATGAGGTATAAGAAATGTAGAGCCACAGTGTAGCCAAGGTAGAACCCAGGTGAAAGGTCTATCCGGAATGAAATTCTCCTCCGCCGGATTGTCTCGTTAATGTCGGTCTATGAGCTTCTGCGTCCTCTCTCTAAAATCTGTGTTCTTGTACTAATGAATCAGAGTTTGCGTGAAGGGGCCGCATAATTTTACACCAAGTTTGTTTTGGTGAGAGTTTTATAAAAACAGGAGCTGATCAGCAAACATTTCAGGGTATTTGGGATAAATGCCCGCATGGCCGCCCACTACACTGAGGTGAGAACCCTCTTTAATATATATAAGCACAGTGTCTTTATTATAGTTTATATTTGCAGTAAAAAATAAAGGAGAATCTCCCCAAACTGTCCTACATATAAAACTCTATTTGGAACGAGATTTCACCATAAGGAACCGTGACACCATTCAGACTGCCTGGAGAAGAAGCATGTGTCTGTAGATCTACTGATGTGCTACCAAAGTTGTTCCACACTGATACAGCAGGAAGAAGTTAAATTGGTGTTAAAGAGATGTCGCGACGAATTTCGTCCCGAGTCAAATGTCAGCTTGTTAAAGATGGAGCCTCAGGCTTGCAAAGTTGCATCTGAATCAAGCACAGGACTTTTGGAACAACGGCCAAGGCTGAGATGGTGGCCGAAGGTGTAACGATACGGGCTTGTTTAGGAGCTAAAGAACTGGGCTCCCTCTCCGCCAACGAGTCCTTCAGGATTACCTCGGCGAAGCAGAATTTTCCAGAGGCCAAACTGTGGCCTTTTCTTGTTTGTAGTTTCCTGGTCCTTTTCCAACATCAGCCGATTCTCTACCGTCCGTCACAGGTTTCCAGTTTGGAGCTCCAGCTGGAACGGACTCGGGCGTCTCTGCAGGATGACATCAGAAGTAGTGAGCTGAAGGCGCAGGCTGCTGAAGAGAACCTACAGGAGACGAGCCGACAGAACGAGCAACTGTCCAGATCAATCAGGTACAAAACTCTGTGCAGAACCGCTTTAAAAATAGGATTAAAGAAAACTCAGTAAAACAGCCTGTTTTAATGATGAAACCTGTCCCCACAACTCGCCATCGTATTAAAAATCACATCCTGATGTCTGCATTAGGTAATATTAATAATCGTTTTGTATTGATTCATCGATCCAACAGCCGACGATCCGATGCA